TTCCAATGCTTGCTTGTCAGTTCCTACACAGGTATTTATTTTATTCGTGTCCTCTATGGAATCCCATGTTAATTTCTGCACAGCCTCTTTGATCAACTTCTAACAATTTTCTTTTGATTTTCATCATTAATTAATACTATTAATAACATTTACTTAGCAGATGTTTGGCTCTAAAGTCTTCCAATAAAATTAAGCATAAATTTCAGATCTAACCACAGTCTGTTGTTTTCCTTTTGGCATCATTTAATTATCATTCTCTAGTTTTCTGTATCTAACCCAAACCTGGAAGCAGAGAAATATTGTATTTTGCTTTGTGAAACATCTCAAGCATCTTTAGTGTCTTCTGTTGGTACCATGAAGATACCCCAAATTACTTCCTACTTCTTTTAAATTGTCTTTCTACACTCCTTTGCATGCAAATTATTAGCTTAGTTTTCTGAAAACAACCTTTTAAAAAAGTGTATTTTTAGAAGTATAGAAATTTATTTTAAAATACTTCAAGTTAATACACTGACAAGCAGTTCAACAGAAGTTTTATCCAATTGCTTTAGCAAAGGTTTATGATCTTGCTGTAGTTGTACAACTCTGAATTTTCGAGGAAGCTGTTCTTCTAGTTAGGCACTCAGCAAGGAGCCTTCTTGAGAGAAACGTTAGTCTACTCATCAAAGTTAAGTGTATTAGGAACACTGGTACATCTATGCACTTGACTGTTTCCTAATTAGATTGTTATACCAAACCTGCTTAAAACCTCAGGTGTTTTGATTTTTTCTTTTTCTTGTTAACATGTGAATTTTTAGTTGCTGTTAGGCAGTGCAGGTTCACAATGACTGTTGTAAATTAATTGGCCAGGAAACTAGAGATGAAGGAGATGATGAAGGTTAGAGCAGGACTAGAAGAAGGAGACACAAAGATGATCATGAACTCCTCTCTCACGAAGAAAGGCTGTAGGACCTGGGCTTGTTCAGTTTGGAGAAGAGAATGCTCTGAGGAGACCCCAGTGTGACCTTTCAGGATTTAGAGGGAGCTTATAAAAGTAACGGAGAGAGACTGTTAAGGTGTGTAGTGTGAGGACAAAGTGCAGTGATTTAAACTGAAAGCAGTGATTTGGGTTAGATAGCTGGAAGATATCTTTTGCAGTGAGGACAGTAAAGCATTGGAAAAGGTTGCTCACAGAAACTGAAGATGACCCATTTCTAAAAGTGTGCAAGGCCACACTGGATGGGGCTTTGGGCAACTTGGTCTAGGATAAGGTGGCCTTGCCCATGACAGGGTTTGGAACTGCATGGACCTTGAGGAATCTTCCAAACCAAATCATTCTGCACTTCTGTGATAAATCTTCATTAATTTGCTTCACCCAAACAACTGATCTTTCTGCTGATTATATGCTAACGATATAAACATGAGAAAAAAAAAATATCCAGAAACTCTTCATCTATTTCTAAGGCAGTGCTGTTAAGCAGACTTTGGTATGTTTAAAAGTTTAGATTTCAGGGTGAAATATTTTGATGCCATTCAATAATAATCAATTAATTTTGTAGAGTTAGCTAGTTAGAAATCCAATTCAAATGCTACTGAGTATGTAATTCTGTCCAATAAGAACACATAAAGTGGGTGGGATTGAGCTGATGTTCTTGTTTATTCAGGAGTTTGGGGTCCTACAAAGCTTGAGACCTCAGGATATCACCAGCAGGGCAAACACAGGCATCAAATCCACTTAAAGGCTAGGAGCTCCTCAGGGTAGAAAAGGATGGCTTCACATGCTTCCACAGCTGAATCAAGTTCTGTTGTATCACAGAATGAAAAACAGATTCTGCACAACTGGAGTAGCTTATTTTTTTGTTTCTAAATGTTTTCCCTCTGATTCCCATAGGAAGTGTGTTGCGAAATGGAGACTATTTTTCTTTCAGCTTGCAGTTTTGTGCTACATCTGTTACTTTTTCCTGTTATTTGAATTTTCCTTCTGGGATGAAAAAAAAAAAAAAAAAAAAAAAAAGAAAAGAAAGAAAGAAAATAACAATAAACAGAATCACAACCTGTGGTGGTAAATAATTTGGACAGGTAAGCTGTGTCATCATGTCAGAGCCATTTTTTCCTATTCTTATGTTCTGCAAAGAGTAGGTGACAGAAAATTTCCGTTGTCTACTACACTGTTGCCCAGAGGGCAGGGGATAAACTTTGCAGTCATTTAAGTCTACAAATGGTTCATAAGGCCAGACTATCATCTTACTCCTGAGAAAATGTTTTGCATTGTCAGAAGGGTAGTTTGGATGCAAATGTTCTCATCACTGGGATCTGCCATTTTATTATAACATATATGCGATGTATAATTACAGCTCTATCCTCATAGTGACAGTGGAAAGCAACTTCAGTGTCTCCTTTTCAAAATAATAAATACTAGCTTCTATTTCTCTGGAGCTACATTATATGGAGTACATTTATTTTGTGCAGTGTTGCACATGTGAGGCTCTAAAACAAAGAGTCTGTTGTTGGTGATCCATTCTACAGGCATAAAGGAAATAAAATGATTAGAATGCTGCACATTTGTTGTTAAAATATAATTAAAGTAAATTCTCATATCTTATTTTCTTCTCTATTGGGAATTTAATTTTGGAATTCATGCATGAATTTTAGGCCAGTATAGAGTTTTTTTGTTATCCAGATAATTTCTGTGAAATATCTAAAGCTAAAAGTGCAACAACCACATCAGCAGCCCATGGCTGTCTTTTTCTTCACATAAGTAATTTTTTTTTCTGTGATCCTGTATGGTTATAATCCTGTACTCTGAGGGAAGTATCATTATAGAAAATAGAGGGAAAAAAGTTCTATTGGAATAGGTAATTGCAGAAGAAACCCAGATATTAACACGTTTTAGAATCTGATACTGTAATATAGGCCAATCTGTGGTCACATATAAAAGCCTTAAAATGCTTCTTTGTTGAGCATCCTTACAGATGTGTCTTTCCTTTCTGTCTTTTCCTACAGCTTTCTGGTGATTCTTTTTTATTTCTTTTCTTTCCAGTGATTTTCTTTGGATTATATTGCATCAACTCATTCTCAAGTGAAAAAGCCACACCTACAGCGGGATAAAATTCAGTAGGACACTTAGCCATGTACAGACAGATCACGATACTGACAAAGATCCATACTAAACTTGAAGAAACTTGCTTGAATTTTTTGCCCAGAACATGAGTTTTCTGTTGTTCTCCCTTTCATTTTGAAAAGTTCTCTGTGCCTTGTTTACATATACCAAGCAACGTGATGAGTTCTTTCTCCTCTAAGCTCACTTTCTTCCCATGATTCTGGCATTGCCTTAGCACAGACTTAGTTTATCTGTCCTTGTTCTGAAATTTCTGAAAGGAGTCACACAGTATACCCTGGAGGATGTGTTTGAGATCTGATGGTAGCCAGAATTCCACCATGCCTTGCATCTTTTAGACAAACATTTTAAATCCTAATTATCTGGTGAATTACATATCTGGCTAAAACAGAAAATGAAATGAAACAAGGTATTGGGCTTTGAATTTTGTATAAATGAATTCTGTCTCTTGGATAGAAATGGGAATGTGTTTCAAAGACATTTTTGCTCTTTATGGGAAGAAAGAATGCACTACTTTCTATAAAGTGAGTTGCTGCATATGAATTTTTACAGATTTAAAAATACCCAACTTGTAGTTACAGCATAAAGGCAGGAATCTGGAAAGGTCTTTCATTCTATTGAGTTTTTATATTAATTATTCACAGTTTTGATGTGAGCACAGAAGTTAGCACAGACTTGAGCAAGTGAACTTGCTGCCTACAGTAATAACTTTTACCATTTTTTAGCCTATAATATGGCTATACTCCCACAAAATAGGCTTAATTTGAAATCAAGAATATTATGACAAAATCAATGATAGCAAGAAGTAAAAATGAAAAACTGAAAGGGATGAGGAGGATGGTGGGAGGACGAGAAGTGTGCGGCCTTAGGCGCTCCCTCCAGGACATCACTGGTGCACCATGGGAACCCCAATCCATGGCGTGAGCTTTATGTTACTGAAATGGAGTTAACTAATAACACTTCCACGCCTGTGATTATTTTATTTATATCATTTGAGGAAATACTTAGTTCTTGTGCCATTCCTTAGTTATCCTCAGGTTAAAACCGGTCATTCAGCTTAATTTTAACTCAACTTTTGAGTTAAAATCAGTTTTCAGGAAGGTCTTTTGACTGTCACTTGACAAATTTTGGTTATCTATATTGCATGTCTTATATAAAATTGAGTGGAAGAAGAAATCTGGAAGACTATAAGAGATATGCATTGTAGAAGTGAACAAAATGGAAGAACTAGTGGTAAGAGGAGGTTATAGAATAAAACATATGAGTTAATAAATGCTTTCAACTTAGAAAACAAAGCTACTTTTCCTCTCTTCTGCAGTAAATGCTATTTCAGGATTACTTCAGAGGATAACAGATTATAAGTAAAATTCATAAGAGCAGATAACACAGTCTTATATGGGAGGATAGTTGCATCTCATTGCCTTATGTTAAACAAATATTCAGGAAGCAATTAACCAAGCTTTACATTGTAGACACATAATATCACTGATACGGGGATGCATATGCAAACACCTCGATTGTGAGAAAGGTCGAAACTAAAAAAAGTCTCTGCAGCAGATTCATTTAAGAAGGCACCATGTATAAGCCGAAGTTAAATAGTTCAATCTCCTCCTGCACTGGAAGGTTTACTTTTCATGAGCAGTGATATTGCTAAGTAAACCCTGGAGGGGAAGAAATGGAATTTCATTCCGGAGTGTTTCAGGATTTCTTTCTTCCGTATTCAGTTGTTAAGCTAGCAAACTACCTCTCCTTATTATCATCATTTAGAAAAATAAAAACAGCTTTAAAAATGTGCTACTTGGGATCTGGGAAAGACAGAACTGCTTGCAGAGGGTACTTCTGTATTTCTGTGCCTTTGCTGAAGCATGCTTTTCTCACTGTTTTTGCTCTGACTCTTGTGTAGGTGGTTGACCAGATCGACACGCTGACATCTGACCTGCAGCTGGAGGATGAGATGACAGACAGTTCCAAAACAGACACGCTGAACAGCAGCTCCAGCAGCACAACAGCCTCCAGCCTGGAGAAGGTGAAGGTGCGGGGCAGTACTCCGCTCATCAAGCCCCCTGTGCATCCCTCTGCTATCCTCACCGTGCTGCGGAAGCCAAATCCACCTCCACCGCCTCCACGACTGACACCTGTCAAGTGTGACAAGCCTCTGAGGCCACCTCCTTCGGCCAACCCTGTCAAGACTAATGGTACCCTGCTGCGAAATGGACCCAGCCGTATCCCAAATGGGGATTTGTGCTGCATACCAAACAGTAATTTGGACAGTGTTGCGATCCCACCTCTAATGCACAGACCTGAGAAAGAGCGGTGTCCTCAGGCAGGAGCAAGGGAACGGGTACGATTTAGTGAAAAAGTGCAGTATCACGGCTATTGCCCAGACTGTGATGTTCGATATAACATTAAAAACAGGGAGGTGCACTTGCACAGCGAGCCTGCCCATCTTCTGGGAGCGCTGCCTCATCAGTGCCCTCCTCTGCCACCCCCACCGCCTCCGCTGCCTCCGTTTCCTCTAGAGAATGGAGGGTTGGGGATAAGTTCCAGTAACAGCTTTCCTCCTCCGAGACCTGTTACTGTGCCTCCACAAACTGCACCAAAACCCCAGAAGACCATCTTGAGGAAGTCGACCACTACAACAGTGTGATGTATGCCACTTGAAAAAAACTCTGGTTTTTTCATCTATATAAACATAAATAGGTAATGAGCACTTTCTACTTGAGCAATAAAAAGACCCAGTGTATTACTCCCAGTGTATCCAGTGAAGTGGCATAAAAGTCACACGGTAAGTAAAGAGAAGAATTTTCTTTTGGTCACCATAAAATGCCTTTATGGCTGAAAAGGATGCTGAAAAATACACATGATTTAGCTGACGGGTTGTAAACTTCTGTTGCAGTTTCCTATCTGCAGCACTGTTTAAAAGAAAGTGGAAAGAAAGATCAGTTTGAAAGTACAGAGTGCGGATTCCTGTTAGATTTTCATCTGTCCAACTTAATGGAGTAAGCATTGCTGCTGAATTCTGGGAAGCTTTCTGTTTCCAGCCGCTGTGCTTTAAAATGCCATTTGACAAAACAAAGTGGAGTGGCAGATAACGCTTTTGACTGAATTCTAGCAAAGACATTTTTCTCTGCCTCAATGCTTGAGTGAAGGCACTGTGTGTGGAGCCATTCAATAGGAAGCAATCACCGGACTTTCAGGCAGCTTGACCTTTGGTGAGGGAGTAAAGAAGTAATTGAAAGGTATGTCGACATGTCTTTGCAGAGCAAAATCATCTTGCAGTGTGTTTCTCACTTGCTCAGTGTGCCACAGCCAGGGAGAATGACAGAGCTTTCAGGAGAGCAAGGACTGTCCCATTCAGTTCCCCTGTGCTTCCTCTGCTTCCATCTGCAGAGCAGTGGTAATATTTTATCTCGCTCGTGTCCTGCATTTTTTACAAAGCTTTTGTCTGGTGCAGATCTCTTTTTGAAGGCAAAGAAAATTTTGCCTAAGGTCTTCAGAGACATCCACTTAATTCGTTTAAAGAGCTTTGAAGTTGAAAAGCTCTATGCCAATTACAAAGCATTAACGTGCAAAACAAGATATTTTACATGCTATCACATTTTGATGGTGAACCCAATTAATATCCTTACTAGATGAAAAAATTCCTCAGTGTTTTAAATTATTTTATGAAAGGACGTTCTTTTGTTCTTACAAAGAGAATAGTTGGTACCTGAAGTTAAAACCCGTCTGATCAGTGAAGAAGATGTGATTATATATCTGTTATGTACAAAAATTGTGCCTAATTAAGCTCTCAAATGGCCCGGCAGCAGATGCTTTATAAAAGCACTATGTTTTTTTTTTTCCATTGAATTATAAAACATACTCTATGGCTTCATCCAGGTTAGCTTCTCTTGGGTCTTATGAAAGAAAACAGGTTTTTTTTTGTTTTTTTTTTTTTTTTTTTTTGTTTTTTAATTTAAATTTCTATTTGAATGCAGTAATAAGAATTTAAAGTAATAAAGAATAAGCATTTAAGCTAAAAGCCCATCATCAAGCCATGCATAATTTCCCTCTATACAGATGATAGTACCTTTACAGTATTTATAATACGAATAATCAGAACAAAAATGTTAACAGATTGAAACCTGTTGAAAACTACAGTGAACACATCATGTGTTGTGTGGATACTCATCTAGGGTCTGACACTGCAATTTACATTACTTGTATAGAGGTGGCAGAGCAAGGGCATCGTCGCAAGTGCTTAGTCATGAATGCACCAAGTGCTCCCCACATGCTTTTCATGATGCACTTTGCACTCTGCATTGTTTGACAACATTTTATCTTACGGGAGCTGTTGCCAAGTAGAACCCAGGCAGGAGAAAGCAGCAAACCAGTTCTGTGTGTGCTTGAAACCTGTACTGCCTGGGTGAGGGTTCTGCTGCATGGATTAAGCTCACGCCTTCCCTGGCACACTGGAATATTGCATTTAAAGTCATCCAAACAGTGTGGGGACTGACCCATGAACCTATATTGCAAAGCTATGGTTTCTACTCTGAAAACTTTGGTTGTTGCGATGCCTTTGTCACTCCTGTGGGGAGCATATGCCAAATCTTTTAAGCAGTTTAATACCTTTTTCCCTCTTAAAAGAACTATCTTATACAAGAACTTATTAGATAATTCCATGTTTAATATAAAATATTTGTATTGTGTTAAATTTAGAAAAATAACAAAGTAGTCATAGGAGAGAGAGTAAATTGCACATCCTACCTCACTTGTCTCAGTGTTTCACAGTATGGACTGATCTCTGATGGCCGTGCAAGTATTTCTGCTCTAAGATGTGCCCTGTGCTCATCAGAAACAACATACTGGTATCTCCAGATTAGGTACTGTGCTATATGGCTATGCTTTGAAGTACATCCGAGTGTCCGTTTCATTGCACTGTTTTGATTACACTCCTCAGGTAAGGAAATCTTAAGTGACATCTAATTTTCAGCACTGCCTTTTGTTTTCTGCTGGTTAAATTGAAGTATTCCATGCTTAGTTTTGGTCTCCTGCATGTTCCATCTCTCACCTTGTCCCTTCTTTATTCTCTATTTCCCCAAGACACATTCGTACCCTTTTGCAAACTACTACCCTTATTTGTGCATTTTAACAGAAAAAAAAAGAGTACTGTGCTAAACACAGTATGCAGCTTTTCAAATGCAATGCTGCTTTTGTACAAGGGAAAAAAAAGAAAAAGAAAAAAGCTTCAAAATGTATTTTTTTTCAGCAATGTTTGCTAATCCAATCTTTTTTTAATGAACCAACATCTTGCCTGTTTTCTGTTCATCATGCTACCAGAGATGAACCAATTCTTCTGTTCTAATGAGAACATCTCTGGCCCTTGTCCTGCTGTGAAGCATATTTATCAGCAGAACAATTTGATCACATTAACATGGCAGAATAAAATTCAGGCTAACGCAAGTAAACTTGCAAAGCGTGGGCATCAACATTTAACTTATGCAGCGCTGTCTGGAAAACTCTGATTAAAACAATTTAAGAAATAATGCAATACTTCATTCACCTGGAAGTGGTTTTCGCATTTAAATTAGGAATGCAATCTCTGTGAACCATTTTTAAATGCAAGTAACATGTCGTGTTTCACTCTTGAGGGAAACACAATAAACCAACCAGAGCCAGACAGCAGTTACGTGTCCTAGAAACTTAAAGGCAACATCTTCGGGGTGATATTTAATGTTCTACAGAGATGTTAGTAGCTTGCATTTCTGTACTGAAATTTATGTTTTATATTCTGAAGAACTGAAAGTCCAATAACAGTATTCAGATCATCAATGCCATGTTTACCACCATTTCAGAGTGCTGCTCTGCTTTGATTCCCCAGTGGTATTTTGAACTCTGAAATGTCTGGTTCTAGATATCTCAGAGGCAAACAGAATGAGAAAATGTTTTCTATCAATTTAATTAAGGTGGCAAGCTTAGAGAGATGGAAACAAGCAGTGTATTAATTTGTAATAATAGCATTTATTAACAAGCTGCTAGCACAGGGATGCTTAGGAAGAAGGGAACATCAGGACACTAAAATTAAGGACACAATCCATTTTAAGGCTCTCAGGTAAGACTCTTTAAAAAGACTGCTGATCTTTTTATTACTTTATAAACATTTCTGTCTTCTCTCTGTCTTCTGGAGTTGTTGCCCCCTCCATCACAGATTTGCTGATCATTGTGCATTGTCCACAGAAACAAGGAACACCTCCAAGGCTTCAACCTCCTTTCCTGGTTATAAAATCAGTCTTTTATTCGAAATGTTACATGCAGTAGAGTATAGCTCTTGTTACTTCCTTCACATGACTTGATTATTGGTTTTGAAGCAAGCAGATTACAGTGTGAATTCTTTAATTACCAGAGGGAGTTGTGTATGCCCTCTAGGCCTTCGGAGATCTCCTTGTTACCATGTTCTAATGATGGCTTTTATTTCAGTGAGACCACAAACAGTAATTTAACATGTGGAGATATGGCCATGCTGTGATTTCTGCCTTTCTCTGCTGATATACTTTTAAAGTAGGCGTGAATAAGGGGCACATATTTTTTCAGAGGCTGCATTTCTCGTTCCCAGCTTTTGTCCATGTTGTGTTCCACACCTGGCTGGAGAACATATGAAAAATATTTAACCACTGGTAAAACAAACACTGATATAGTTTGTAGTTACATTTCTATATTTCAAACTAGTAGTAATAATTAAAGCATCAAGCTTAGAATGAGGTAAGATTGGGTACGTAAGACGGGCACAAAGGCATGTAGTGGAAGATACACACATGGTCAGCTGTGCTAAGCACAATATTTGGAACACCAGCTCAGAAGAATGCTTGGCAACTCCTGTGTAACCACTGAGTATTTTCAGGGCAGTGTGTGGCACACTGCACTGCAGCCTGCCAGTCAGTGTTCACTGCTGGCACACAATGTTGCAGCACACTGCACTGCATGCAGGCTGCAGTTCAGCCTCATCTCTGTTGAGCAGCAGTTGTGTGATGTGCTTGTGTGGAGCTTGTTTGTTATATTTGGGAAAAATTAGCAGAAATTTTACTTTGCTGCCTGTTTTGTAGTGGAGAAAAGTCCTGAGGTGGAAAACAGTCTCCCCCAGATTAAGCTTTACAAAATATCTGCACCAATCCATTTGGGGGGAGCTCAGCAGAGTTTGTGCAAGATGCTGACGTTCCTGATCTGAAGGGATTTGATATATGCTTAGTGCTCTTGTTATCTGATGCAGAAGCTGCTGGGGTAAACGGCCAAACGTCCTGCTGCTCACATCAGCCTCTGCAGCTCCCTTTGTGTTTCCACAGTTGTTCATGAGTGGCAGTCCCAGTGCTGTGGGGCATGTCATGTTTTGTGAGGAAGCTGCAGCACACACACAGCTGTCATTTGGGCTATGTTATCCCAGTTCTGTTATCAGCTGTGGCTGTGGCACTGTTAGCTTGCTCTGTGTTTTCACAGAATTACTATGTTTGGAAGAGACCTCTAAGTTTAAGTCTGACCGCCAGCCCATCACAATCGTGTCCATTAAACCTCAGTGGTTTATCAGTGGTTAACATCTCCATATTTCCTTGAAACCTCCAAAGGCAGTGACCCCACCACTTGCATGGGAACTTTCTGTTCCAGTGCCTGAATTTGCTATTGTTTCTGAGAAATTTTTTCCTAACATCCTACTTGAACCTCTGCTCTGCTCTGCTCTGGAACGCTTGAGACCCTCAATCTCTTTCTTGTGGTGAGGAGCACAAACCTGAACACAGTACTTGGATGCAGCCTCACAGTATCAGGTACAGAGGAACAGTCACTTCCCTGCTCCTCTTGCTTTTACAATGCTGAATCTTTGGGAAATTTCAAGGCAGTTTTGTTACTGCTGAGATAAACAGTTTCCTGTCAGGTTATGAAAACAATGCAAGGGTCTCATATGTAGGTATGGACAAGAGCAGTGAGAACCTTTCATTTTTGTCAGGGCTGCTTTTTGTTATTGCCTAACTATGCATTTTTTGTGGTGTGAAAAAAAAAAAAATATATATATATATATATATATATATAGTGAGAAAGATGTGGAGAGACATCAGGTCTGATCCACTACGAAATTCAACGTCATGAACTGCACCCAACACCCACTCAACAACAGTGCTTCAGAGAAACACTTCTGCTGCCTCACTGGGGGAAAACAAAGAGCAGAGCTGATGGTGCAAGGGTTCCAGAAATTGCTATCTGTTGTCCTTTGCTGAGG